CCCCCCCCCCCCCCCCCCCCCCCCCCCCCCCCCCCCCCCCCAACTCTGCTAAGGCAGAATTTTGTAACCTTGAAGGTTGAGAACAGATTCAGGGATTTTTTACTTTTGTTTTCCTTTTTCTGGGTTTTGATTTTGTTTTCATTTTCCCGGCTGTCTGTCGTTTGTTCTGCTTTGCTTTTAAGACAGCTTCATCACATAGCCCACGCTAGGCTCAATACTCCACCTTCCTGCCCTAACCTCCACCCGGAGTGTTGGGATGGAAGATTTTGTATGAACTAATTGTGGTAATGCACGCCTTTAATCCCAGCACTTGAGAGGCAGAAGCAAACTCCAGCTTGATCTACGTAGGGAGTTCCAGGTCAGCCAGAGCTACATTGTGATACTCTTGTCTCAAAACAAAACTAAACTAATAATAATAACAACAACAACAACAACAAAAGATTTAAAGAAGGAGGGGCTGGATAGATGGCTTTTCTTCCACAGGACTCAGATGGCTCACAGCCTTCCAAAACCCTCTGCTGACAGCTGGCACGCAAGTGGTGCGCAGAGGATAGGCAGGAAACACACTCACACACAGTAAATAAAATTCTTAACACTTTATTTAAAAAAAAAAAAAAAAAGACTGCCTACCACATGGCCTGGCTTTAGAATTATTTCAGTACAGCAAAAAGAATAAAATGGGACAGAAAACTTCAAGAAATAAAAAAACAAAGGAATATTGTTTCATGAATCCTTTGTTTTTGTTTTCTGTGTATCAGAAGTATAGTCTTCTTTTGCTGTTGTTGGTTTTTGTTTGCTTCCTTGTTTCCAGACTAAGTTTCTCTGTGCAGTCCCAGCTGTCCTGGAACTCACTCTGCAGAGTTTGGCCTCAAACTCAAGAAATCTGCCTGCCTCTGCTAGGATTAAAAGTGTATACCACCATGCCTGGCTAGAAGTGTGATTTTCAAAAAGTTTAAAACATGGGACTAGAGATGTGGCTCAGCAGTTAAGAGCACTTGTTCAATTCCCAGCACCCACATGGTGGTTCACAACCATCCATAACTCCAGTTCCAGGGCTCAGCTGCTCTCTTTCAACTTCCATGGGAACCAAACATTCACATAGAGTATAGATATGAGAATCACGCCAAGTCTTTCAATGTAGTTTTGCTTTGCCATGTCCCCACTGGGGAAAAGAAAGTCAAATTTAAACTCATTTATTGGTCGTTTATACTTCTTTTAAGAACTGTTTGGTTTATCATTAATTGATCAAATTATTTGTTTTGTTGGTAGTTTGAGGAGTTTGTATATTCTACATATCAATCCCATCTCAGATGAGTGGTTTTCCATTTTGCAGGCTGTCTTTTCATTCTTTTTTTCTTTGCTGTACAAAAGCATTTTAGTTTATGACTCTGTTTGTCAATTCTTGTTATTATTTCTTGGGTATTGGAGTTCCTTTCAGAAAGTCCTTATCTGATCGTGCTGGGTAGTGGTAGCAATGCCCTTTAATCCCAACAAAGTCGATCTCTGGAGGGCAGTCTTACAAAAATGAGTTTCAAAACAGCCAGAGCTACACAGAGAAATCCTGTCTAGAAAAAGAAAGGAAGAAAGGAAGGAAGGAAGGAAGGAAGGAAGGAAGGAAGGAAGGAAGGAAGAAAGAAAGAAAGAAAGAAAGAAAGAAAGTCCTGTCTCTGCCTGGATCTCAAAGTGTTTCACCCAGCCATTAAAAAAAAAATTCATTTCTGAAAAAAAACCTAATTTATGTGTATATGTGTGTACCTGCTTGTATGTATATGTACATGCCTGTAATATGCATTACATGGATACATTGTTCTTAGAGGACAGAAGAGGGCATCATATTCCCTGGAATTAGAGTTACAGACCGTAATAAGCTGTTACATATATGCTGAGAACTGTACCTAGGTCCTGGGCAAGAGCATCAAGCTGCCTAAATGGCTGAGCCATCTCTCCAGTCCTGTGTCCATTTTTGTAGAGCAGGCAACAGAGATCTTGTTCCATTCTTCTACTTACAGTTATCCAATCATCCAGACTATTTGGTGAAGAGACTGTTTTTTTCCCAAAAACATGTCTTTGTCACCTGTCTTGAAAATCATATGTATGTAGTCACATGATTTCACTTCTAGGTTCTCTATTCTATTACATTGATTTACATGTTTTTGCTTTGGTTTCATTGGAACGTGTGGATGACATTAGGGAACAGTCATCTCACTTATGTTAATTCTACCAGTGTTCAAGCATGGGAGGTCTTGCCATTTTGAGTGTTTTAAAGTTTTCATTGTAGAGGTCATCCTTTGAAGAGACTGTTCTCCAATGTGCATTTTTTTTTTTTTTTTTTGGCATCCTTTAAAAAAAATTGGGTTATAGGTGCATGGTTGTATCTGGGTGTCCTATTCTAGTCCTTTGATCGACATTTTTTTTTGTGCCAGTATCAGGCTATTTTTGTTACTGTTTATTCAAGCCAGAATAAACAGAATTTCTGTGTGTATGAGCACTTTTCTTTGCAGACCTCAGCTCTACTACCTGAGTAATACTTTTACTCTTTAGAGTAGGTTCCTTCCTAATGCTGCTGCCCTTCAATACAGTTCCTCATGTTGTATTGACCCCCAACCACAAAATTATTTTCATCGCTACTTTGTAACTGTAATTTTGATACTGTTGTGAATCATAATGTAAGTATCTAATATGCAACTCCCAAAGGGGTCACCACCCACAGGTTGAGAACCACTGCTTTAGAGCAAGGAAAACAGGCTATCAATAATCCAATGGTTGGTGAGGCTATTGAAAGGATCTGTATCAGCTCAGGACTCCCAAGACCAAGTTTTCAGCACAAAGGAGATTTGTTTGCTCCAGAGGGACAAAGGGTAGGAAAAAAAAAAACAAAAACAGACGATAGAAAAAAGGAAGGAGGGGAAGGGAACAAGGAGAGGGGCAGGGATATTTGTCCCTAATTGGTGGGGGAAGTGGTTTACAAAGGATTGCCTCTGGATAGAGAGGAAGCAGATGTGGTCCATAGGCAAATAGCAGTTTATAAAGGCCTGCCAAAGCCATTCTCACCATGCTCCAGCTGGTCAGAGTCCCTTCACTTATTTCTCTCTCTAAATATCTTATTCTACATTTGATCCTCATTTTTGACAAAGCAAAACATTGACTACTTCATTCTCGGCTGTGGCATCACATTTCTGAAGAGAATGACACAAAATATTCTAGCCACTGTGTACTTCATGGCTGGGCCTGCAATGAAAAGAACACTGGGAGTAGAGTACTCTAAGCATTTAGGGATGAGGCTTCTTATCTTCTGGCTTGGCATGTTTTTGTTCGTTTGCTTCTTTGGTTGGTTTTCTCTGTGTAGCTTTGACTCTCCTGGACTTGATTTGTAGACCAGATTGGCCTCGAACTCACAGCCTCTGCCTTCCTGAGCACTGGGATTAAGGCGTGCACCACCACACCCAGCTTTGTTTGTTTTGCTTTTGAGGCAGGGTCCTACTGAATAACCCTAGTTGACCTAAAAGTCTCTGAAGACCAGACTAGCCTTGAACTTGCTGTGATCTTCCTGCCTCTACCTCTGCTGGAATTATTGACATGTGCCACAATGCCCAGGTAGGTACCTACCTTGAAACAAGAGTTCACTATTGAATGACTTCTCCACTAAGGCAATAAATCAGTTGAGCCAAATTAAAGTATAAAGGCAGTTTTATTTGGGGCAGCTCTCTTGGCAGATTCATGGGTCCCAAGGAAAGAGGCCAGGGAAATTGCCATGCAGACAGGGGCAGTTAGGGGCAGGCAGAGAAAGAGAGAGCATGTATACATAGGGAAAGAGAAATGCAGAGAGAGAGAGACCAAAAAGGAAGAGCCTCTCGGGGAGGGGAAGCCCAGCCTGAGCTAGAAAATTCAGGGTAGAGGACTGGCATGCCAACCATGCCCTGTAACAGGTAGGGACTGAGGGATTCTGGGAGAAACTAGAAGACAGGTGTGCTTTGATATGTTAAATAGACTCTTCAGCTGTTTGTCCTGGGTCTGAAGTTGATCATCTATTACAAAAGGAACTATATGGGGAGCTGAGGAAACCCTAACTGAATAGTGTATGTATTGTTGACATGGGCACAGACCTGTCAAGGACCTAACACCTCAGGCTTATGGGAATGACAAAGCCTTCCACTAGTCCAAGTGTGGACGTTGACAGTGCATGCAAGTACAAGTATTTAGGAATGACTGACCAGTGTGTGCAAAACCCAGCTCCCTCTTCCTAGATGCTTAGAACCTGAGACTGTTGTGGTTATTGTATTTGACTCTAGAGGGTTTCTCTACTCTGTCTAGTTCCCAAATAATCAAAACAGAGACCGCTTGGACTTATAAAAGCATTAAAGCTTAAGTAACCGGTCAACCCTCTAAGCTATTCTTGCTATTTCCCAGCTACACATCCCATGTTCTCTGCCTTAATTGTTCCTGTCTGGGTTGCTTCTCTTCTATCAGGCCAGCCCTCATGGCTACACGCTCATAGTCCCCACGGTGACTTCCTTCTAACTTCCTCTCCTCCTGCTACCTCTTCTCCTTTCTCTCTCTCTCTCTCTCCTTGTGGTCCTTCTGAGACCCCCAAGGCCAGGAACTGAAGCCCTGCCTACTCTCTTCTGCCCAGTCACAGGCTTCAGCGACTTTATTAACCAATTCAC